ATAAATGGATGTAAATACCATAGCCAAAAAAGGGGCTATAAAAGAAAATAGAATTCAAAAAGGGCTTAGACAAGCTTAATCAAGTAAGATAGCCATAAGAATGAAGTTGGAGAAACAAGTAGCTTGTCTCTTCACATTTTGAACTTGGTAGCAAGAAAAACATGATAATTGATCTGGACCGACACTTTTGATATATCAGATATCAGCTTAGCAGTCATAAAGTGGTGCAACAACGAATTTATCACAACAGAAGTCACCTCCCCATATTCATGCTTACATCACAGAAATATGCTAAACAACTAGAAATTTCATCATTATCACAGCGTCAAGTTCATATACATAAACAAATCAATCTAGGAGCTATGACCTTAACTCCTCAAGCTTTTGCAACCACAACAAATTTCGACATGATACAGAAGTATACTTATTCAAAAGGTCAATTGACAACTCTTGATAACTGCCCTTCCAGAAATAAATTCAAAAGTATGTTATTCTTATGCTCTCAACCAATCTTGATAGGCAGTTTTGATGCATCCAATATTATTTTGCTAGTTACTTCCCATTACCACGGCTACAAATTCTTCACGACAGAAACTGTCTACTGCTTTCATCTTTTATCACAGGAATATGCCTAAAACTCGTATTTTAATCATTATTGAATCAAGATACTTATTTGAAAGGTCATTCAACAATTCCCAGTAACTGCCCTTCCAGATAAGCTTTCAAAAATGTTATCCATATGCTCTCACTTGGTTTTTACTGGTCCCTAATTCACAGAATACAATAAGTGCATGGATACTGCTGGAAAATTTGATTCATCATGTGAATGCAAACAGACGAGAAAAATGGAATTGGAAAAAGACAGTATGACTTCTTGTTGTGACCTTAGAGTCCAAAATGATGCATTCTACAAAATTGCAGATCACTTAAAAGTTCAAAAATGTCACACATAATTCTATTACTCTATAAGGACATGCAAGTTATTTTTCAAGAATCTCAGTAATGTGCATCAATTGTTTAAAAAAAAAAAAAAGGCATTACAAAGTAATCTTTCCATCAAACTATAGCCTGAGCAGATGAAAAGAAGACAGAAGCGCAAGTACAAACCAATATGCAGAAGGGAAGCAACAAAGGAAATTTATCATAAACTCCCTAAACAACCAGCTATATTCTTGAATGAGGCAATGTTCACACATCGAATGGTTTCATCTTATGTGTTTATATAAAGCAGAATAAGACCTCTAAATTGTAGACTTTTGCATGACCGTAAGCTTTCAACCAAATAGAGACAGTAGCCAACAATAACATATGAGGGGTTTAAAATAGACTGCGAGCACAAACATCAACAATTTTAATGACATTCTGTTACAAGGGAACCTACTTCCGCCTGGATGTACTGAACCTCTTTCACACGGAACTCTGCATTCTCACTTTTCTCCTCTTTTTCCAGCATGTCACGCACCTGATGAGCCCATGTATCCTTCAGATTTTGACTCTTACTGAACGCTGTTAAGTCAATATCCCCATCAGGCAAATAAGTCTTGAGGGGGACTGACCCAAAAGTGAACACCTGCAAAAACAATCATTAAGCATGCTCAATAAAAGGGGGCCAGGAGCCATGCCGTCAATTTAAGTGAAATAAACAAAACCTCGATGCCCATCAACGTCAGCATAAGGACAGGCAGGATGCCAAAAACATTCAGGGCTTTTAAAAAAAAAAAAATGATTGCACTAGCAGACTTCAATATACTGCTCCTATAAAAACATAATAAAAACAGGTTGCCATTTCTAGGTTAGCGATGCCCCACTATCAGAGGCCAATTAACTGCCACATTTAACAAGAAGTACCATTCTTTGAGGGGGGGAAAAAATCATATCAAGCTTGGAGCCCAAACATTCTTAACTAAACTGATAGAACAAATATAGCTAAAAAGGTGCACAATTTACAAATCAAAGTTCCCAACTGGGCGAAAAGCTGCCCAGTCTAATAGCAGACGCAGTACACGTCAGTTTCTGTAAAGCAATTAAAAAACACACCTGGCAAGGGAAGCACCTCATGATCAGTTGCTGCACATAGTGTGCAACAGCATTTCGGCGGTCTTCAGAGGGTGCATTAGGCTGAATGCACTTAATCAGCTCTGCGGTCCGCTCCTCAGCCTTTAACCATCGCTCCGAATCAAGAGCTCTCATCACGGAGGCGGCTTCATTGCCCAACAGGCCATTCGGCAATAGCCCACTTGGTGGCTGTGCCCACCCCTCATGTTCGCCCATGCAAGCCTAACCTTTTCCCTCTGCTTGCACCTTCAGCTCTTTCCAGCAAACCTCCCACCTCCAAACAAGACACTACAACGGCTTCTTCCAAATTAACCCACAACAAAGGAAACTAGTGAATGTTACACACGCACAAAGCTGGGAGTCTCGGGATTATGGTTCCACCAAAAGGAAAACTTCTAGTATACAACAAACAAACCAAGATAGAGATTTATTTCAATTTAAGTTTAGAGAAAGAAAAAGATGACAACTGCAAAATACGACTTCACAAATGTCGGGTGTTTTACAAATGAATCCCAAGAGTAGGGATGAAAACTCGATTTCAGAGTTCCACCGGCGATAGAAAGGTCCACAACCCAGAGACGATAATAAAACACAATGAAGCCCAAAAGGGAAGAGGTAACAGAACAATTGGAAACAAATTTGTTTAATCACGAAATAGTTTAGATGATTAAAACCCTAAAGGAAACGCCTCAATCCCAGCACTGTTGGAAGTGCGGCGAATCAACAGAGATACAGAAGCACGGTGGCGCACACTGGAAAGGAACGTCCAATATGCAAATGCAGAAAGACACACTGTGCATCAATCACATCCAATGGCTTAGGTAAGTTGGAAGTGCCGATCAGAAACCGGGCTTGGTAGAGCGGAGGAAATAAGAGTGTTTGGATATGAATATTGGTATTGAAAGAGGCTACAAAAGAAAGCCAGAGAACGGGTTTGACGCCCTTCAGAGTGTTGTGTGCATTTTAAGGGTTTTTGAAACGGGAAATTTATTGGCAAACAGGAAATGATAGAATCTGGGGGAAGAGAGAGAGGGGGGGGAGGAGAAGCAAGGAAACAGAGCGAGAAAGAGCAGGAAATTTTTCTTTTCGTTTTCTCATTTTCCGAACGTCATTTTTTTTTGCATTTGGGCCAAACACCGGAAACACTGCAAAGGGACTGGATCGGCCCATTATAAAGCCCAACTAAGTCATCCGCAGTCAAAAGGATAATCTCGTCCCGAACCTCGTTTGTCACCCAAAAAAAAAAGGGGGACGCTCTTATCCTATGCCTCTGGTCTCTTTTATTACAAAAAATAAATCTTTTAACTCATTATTAAATTAAAATATCAGATAAAAATATTATAAGTTTGTAATAATAAATATAAAAACAATTACATTAGAAATAAAATGCACGTAGAAATTATATGCAAATGCAGTTAATAAAAGATATACATTTTTTGGATGAAACTAATAGTATGTTATTTGGAACTAAAAGATTTACTAATTACCTAATATTAGGCAAAGCAAAATAATTTCTATTCTCATATGACAAGACTTCAATATGAAGGCTTTAATAAATTATTATTAAAATAAACCTATAGTACGTGTCTTTCTTTTTTCTGGCCAGATACCTAGAAGCTAGAATAAGGGTATCATTTTTTCCATTTCTTCTAACAAATTTTGCACTTAATTTCTAAGCATTCATGATCAGTTTTGAGAGTGAAGTAGTGAACACAATAGTCCTGTTATACTCCTTTGACCAGCGTACGTGTTTCCTTCTTCTTGTCACTCCATTTATTTGAGTTATTATTACTTTTACAAGCCTGATTGATTGCCGAACTTGAATTTTATAAACTAATTTATTCAAATAATAGTGACTTTTTTCGGCTGACTTCTCAGTCGAATGCCTAACATTAATAGTATCATTTTGTGAGACTATCACACAACAAAAAATTAATTTAGCATTTTTAATGTGTGAATGTGCGTGTGTCTGTGTATATATATTCTGGAGAAGTTTGCGTGCTTTCCTTTAATTAGTTCACCGGCTTGCATTGTCCTAAACGATTTGAGAGTTCGTTTTGAAAATCTATATTTTTAAACAAAAAGCTATCAATTCATACAAAGTTGAAAACTAATAATATTCTGTCCCTCTATTTTTTATTATAACTCGCCTTCTAAAGATGTTGTTAGTTCTTTTTATAATTCAGTTGAATATTTTTTTCATATATGTTTATATATGAACAGTGAAAGAGTAGAAATTAGTATGATATTAGATAGAAATTATTTGAATTTTAAGACACATATGATAATCTTAACTATTGTTATTAATATATGTGAATTAATAAAAGCAACTTATATATAGGATAACATGGAGTGTTTAATTATTAGCTAAAGTATATATTTAATCATTTAACTTTACACAAGGTTCAATTTTGTCACTTAATTTTAAAAAGTATATTTTTAGTTTTTTAACCTTAAAATTTTTAACAAAAAATGAGACATACATATCTTAAATGTTGATAAAATATTTTTAAAGGCTAATATATAAAGTTAAATTTTCAAAATAATCATGATTATTACAAAATATTATCATTTAAGTCTAAGGATTTTAAGGGGAACAAAAATATATTTTCTAAAGTTAAGTGACTAAATTAAAATCTTATATAAAATTAAAGAACTAAATATACACTTTAGCTTGAATTCTTCAAGAAAGAAATAGTTGTAAAAAAAAATTTAGAAGAACATAGTACGAATAACAATATCTGTGTATATTGAAATTAACTAACGTTTTATTCACAACGTTCGTCAAAAGATTGAGGTAATAGATACATGAGGATGCAAGTTACATCTCTGTGAATTTACAGGAAAATGGGCTCCTTTTCCAAGCAAAGATTGATCAGCTTTTCCTTGATTGTACATACAGATATATAAGGGAAGGCTCTTGATTGAATGACACATACAGATATTTACACCCCAGTCATGATCTCCTTGGAGACTAAGGCATGGCTCTGAAAGCTTTGTTCATGGCTCCAAGAGTGTGGAGAAGGTGAGTTAAGGAGAGGCCAGAGGTGGTCAATCCTCTGCCTCCTGACTCTACGGACGAAAACCTTGGTATGCTGTCGCAGGACGGCGTTGAGAGCTTTAAGGTAGGTGCTAGAATCATGGTCTCTGAGGATGGTTCCTTCAGAGCCATAGGCTGTGGGGTCACTGAGGGTTTGCAAAGGGTGAGGCTGGTTGAGGAATGCCCTCAGAACTTTTGAGTAGCCAAATATGGTGTCGTCCAGAGCATACAAGGCACAGCCTGAAGGCAATAATGGATGTGCTGGAGATGTCTTCTCGTCTGGTTGCAGAATGAACATTTTGCCCATTGGCGAGTACAATAGCTTCTGCATAAACATGGTGAATCATATTAGAAGCTTATCATGGCCAGAACACACCTCAAAGTTTAAAAAGCGCTTATAAAAATATTCATAGATTTTTTGAAACTAGGAATGAAATTTGAGTTCATGATCTGGTGGGTTATGAGCACTTGGTTACCAACTTTTATGGGCTCCATACATACATATATATCAATGAAGATGGATGCGTGCTTACATTTTTCAAGAGACAAGGATGTGATCTGAAGGAGGCGTTCAAGCGCTTGAGGAGGAGAGCAACGTGGTTAGGGTAATTGCAAGAGAAGGCTCTGGGAACAATGTCTCTGTGCATCATGACGCAGTGAATAATGCTGTCGTCCAACCCTAGCTCGTCAAGTATGTTTCTTCCTCCACAGAACACAAATGGTGAGCCAAAAGTCACGACTGGTCTCAGAGTCGAAGGGCTCACCACCTTCCTTGTTAGTAACATTAGATGCACCAGAAGAGCAAGACTACCTCCCAAGGAATGGCCCGTGAATTGCAGCTTCGCGCGATCTCCATGCTTTCTCAAATGCTCCATTATTTCTGGCATGAATTGCTCGTATATTCCCTTCGCTGCTTCGTATATTCCTCTGTGAACAAGCCCGTTTGTGTCCTGCATGACTCCAACATATGTAAGTTCGTCTATTGATAGAGATCAGAAAGGAGGCATTTCATTAGAACAATTCAGAATTGATTATACCTCAAATTTAGCGGGCTCAAAGAAAAGGTTCGCTTGCCAAGATGCCAAGGAATCTGATCCCTGCATGATGAAGCAAACTAATCTCACGTTTACCTTCCAAATTCTTTAAGTATGTCGTTCAATAGAAACAGACGAGCATTTTTCCCAGTTGTACAATCATCATCACGGATTAAGTGTATATGTCTGAATTAGATAATTAAGAAGCTACCTGGATTACGAAGCAGCGAGTATAAGTGCTGAAATCATCGCAGACAAACCATTCACAAGGTGATGAATGAAGTGATTGAAGGTCCTTTGCTGCTTCCTGTTTCTCCTTCTCTCCGGCGGCGACCACCGCCGTCATGGTGGATGCGGCGACATAAGCCGCAACCCGTGAGGCCTCTTCTGCATCTTCAACTTCAATGTCTAGTCTTCCGCGTGAATCCTCGCTGTGAAGTTCTGGCCGTGACACAGAGCCGCGAGACAAAAGATCCTTAGCTCTTGACTGCACATACGAGGCTGCTGAGGCTGCAATCTCGTACGCAGCAGATGGCTGGATTTTAGGCTTCTTCTTTGAGTTATCTTGAGAGGATTCTTGTGATGAGGAAGATGGAGGCACTTGGGTAGAGTCTTGGTCAAGTTTTGTTTTGATCTTAGCCACCTCTGCTTTTTTCTCTAAAGAAGATGTTACGAATTGAAGACCATAGTATCTCCTCAAGTCCTTAGCCTGCAGCAAATTGACACGTTTTATTTGTTGCTTGTGCTTCAACTTTGAATTCTATCTATCTATGTCAATTTTCATTCAACAATGGAAAAGCAAAATTAATGGAAAACTAGTTATATGTTTATTACTGACTGGAAAAAATTAGAGTATACAAAATATGATACATTATGTTTTACTTAAATGGATCTTTAGTTAAATCTATCGATCTAGCTTGAGATTAGAGAGTCTGGATCATTAGATTGTGAGTAAACAATAGATGAGCTTACCTTGATCTGTGGTATTACATAGGCCATATTGCTGAGAAAAGCGAGCTGAGAGTATAGTTTAGTGTCAGACCAAGGAACACGCACTAGAAACTTAGAGAAAGACTCGTGATCAAATGCTTCTTCTTCTTTTTCTTCTTCATCTTCTTCTTGATAATCCACCATGCACACACCGTCACCTTCATCACAATCGTATTCATCTTCATTATTGATAATATCTGGATCCATATTCTCCTTCGCAGTTCTATTCCTCCACTGCCTCTTAATCTCCATAAGCCTCTCTACCCAGTTAGCCCTCTGCACATCATCTTCCACGCCACTTTCACTCTTACCTTCCTCCACGATGTTAACCAGCTCCTTCTCCTTCTCCATCAAATTCATGTCCTTGCTTGTTTCTGGATTGAACAAGAAGGATTGAAGCGAGTTCGAAAGTTGAAATGGGAAAATCCCCATGGATCTACTGCTCTTTAACTTTGGCTCCACCGCCGCGGCTTGGACGCCGCCGGCTTTGACCGCGTGGCAAAGGTGGTTGTCGGAATAAGACCTTCGCATCTTAGAATTCCTACACAGGTCCTTGTTGGAGCTTGATCGACGGAGACCGCTCTGCTCTTTTGCCATGTCCATTAATGTTGCAGAAGCTGCTGCAGAATATGAAGGGATGCTCACCGTAGTATATGCCATTGCTTCTTACAGTTTCTGTGGCAAATAATAAACCAGCCAAGAGATCAATATCAGAGACTACTCATCAAACACAGTTCTTGAGAGGTCGTGTTAACTAATGAACAAGGATTTATTTTGTAAGACAATGTTATTAACTAGGTTTTGTGTTTGTTGGTATTGTCAATAATCAGTTAGATTTGTTGGAATTACCCTTCAGGATACGCAACTCTTTATGTCAAGACTCTGTTGCGTTGGTCACTGCCAAAAGCAAGACATAGTAAAACTCTAGGTTTGTACATATACATGTACTTGTTCCCAAGAGACATGAAAACTCTTGACGATTAAACCATTAATTTTTCTGACTTAAAGTGAGACCATGTGAATACAGACGGCCAGACATATATTCTCGTTGAGTTCTAGGATCTATCATGTAATTAACTTCAAGGACACGGTTCCAATGGAATGAATATATATAATTGAATATATATATATATATAGATATATATATATATATCGGTGTTTGATGTAGCGGTAAATGAATTAGGTAATCTACCTGCAAGAATCAATGGTGGAGGTTTTGTTTTTAATTCCAATGAAAGGTTTCGACCTATGGATCTTCTTTTCACTGTAGAACGTCGGCCATGCTTCACAATCTACAGTGCCTGCCATGATGAACAGAGATTAAATTCAATAATTGAGCTGGACAAAGTGGGTGATATATCCCAGTTCTTTTTCTTTCTCGCTTTAATTCTTAGAATAGAATATGAATCCAGCATTAATCTAAGAGCCAAAAAATAGGATCAGATTAGACCTAACTGCGTGCAGGAAGAAATTAATAATAGACATTTCAAAATTAAAAAATGAAAATAGTTTAATTTCAAAATTTGTAAGAATTGATCACGATAGTAGCATGGATTATGATAATTATTTCTTAAAAAATTAAATTAAGTTGATATAATTAAAATGGGAGCTGTTATGGTTAAAAAAATATATGCAAAATTGGTACGGTAAAGCTTGACCAACATATTTTGGTTGGTTATGCGTTTATTTTCTTGGTGTCGTCGCATGATATTTAATATTTCAAGCTTAGAAGTTAGAGCCGACAAGGTAGGAAGGAAAAGGACTCTGAAGAAAAAAGACTTCCATTGATCTGAAGAACACAAATAGCACCGGATATCCAACGTTGGAGAAGTATTCACGTTTTCTTAAATTACGGTTCGTGGCTTCCAAGTTCCAACAATTCTTTGACTTGATTGTTTGTGAGAAAAGTGCGAAAAGAATTTGTCACTTTTTTAAGCCTGCAATTTAATCTGTGCGTGTCTCTTAATTTAAAACCATGACCCTTTTTTTCTGACTTAACAAAATTGCAGAAGGCTTCACTCCTTTGAAGTGGAGAATGTTTAAAATTAATGAAACCACACTAAATAATAGTTGGCAAAAAAAATTAGATGTTAAATAATATATTTCCTCCACTTCACAATGTAAATCACTTTAATTATTAATTTGCCAATATCAAAAAAAATAATAGTTAACTCATTAAATTTGTTCCAAATTAATTTTTTTTTTTTTAGCTTTATACTACATGAGATTATGAAGAAGAGTGGACAATATAAAGAGTTACATTTGAATATATATTAATTATGAGGAGAAAATTGACAAATAAACATTAATTACTTTTCAAGTGATTTATATTTTAAACCAAGTCATTAGGGGTCAGAGGGAGCGTCAAGTATTTGTAATTTTTGTTGAAATTCACTTACTTTTTATATTCAACTTTACAATATGCAAGATTTTTTGTAGTGAAAAATAATTTAGTCAAAAAATAAAATTAAATGTGCATCAGTATAATCCAAGTGCTTAAAAATCGAAGTCCCTTATTATGTGGGCAAGATAGAAAGTTTCTGCCGCAACTAGAAAAAAGGATAATAAAAATTATTTTGACTAAATTGACAATAGTAGTTTATCTTAAAATTTTAAAATTTAAAAGTATCATTAATCCCGAACGATTTGAAGGAAAGTAATTTTACACAAGCAAAATTTTGGAGTCTAAACAAACATGTCTGAAGTAAATTTTTTTATAAATAAATAAAGAATTCGATTAAACTCGAATATTCTCAAATGTTTTATCATAACACATATTTCATATATTCCTATTAACAAAGTTATTAATGGAAATATGATAAGGATATAATAATTCTACAATGACAATGTAAATTTTTTGTATTATTTTGTTGAGCAGGCATACATCTATTTATCAAAGATCATGCAAGTAGCGTATTTGTGAATCATCTTCAAATTATTAGTCAATATCAATATAATATTACAAAATTTATAATAAATAATAATCCTTTATAAGACCTTTATACATATAAAACCATTATACTAGTATGTAGGGTCGTATATCTAGAATCAGGGGAGTATTATTTATAAACCACGAATAATGCAACTCATCTTAAAGGAATACAGTCTAATTAATAATCAAGATGTTAAATATTTGTATAATTTTTTTTAATTTATTATCATTATTTCCACGAGATACCATGAAAGGCATATCACAAGGATTCTGTCAATCCAGAAAGGTATGCCTTGATTTTGATAAGCTCCCAGTACTTAATTTACATAAACCTTTTTGTTAAAAGGAAAAAATCTTTTATTTTACATGTCAACTGAGTTTGGCAATCTAGAACCGAACCGGTGCTACTATTAATTAAGGCTAATTTTGTAATTTAGAGATGTAGTTTGAGATTTAGACAAATTAAAGGAAGAACTTTGACAATATTCCAGAGGTGTATCGAATTGCACAAAAACATGAATGAGAAGATCAAAGAAAGTGAAGGTGAGCACACACAATCGGTCATCCATTGCCACAAAGAAGGAGGAAACTGAAAAACGACATCAGAGACTACAAATCTACACAGAGAGAAGAAGGAAAGTAATGAAGAAGAAATTAAATTTATTTACCGAGGGAGAGGCGCGCGATCGAGAAAATGAAGGATGAACAAGCAAATCGTCCACTGTTTCCGAAGAAGATGTCGCAGAAATCTCACTGTGATCGAGCTCCAACAATGGCGGCTACCTCAGGAATCTTGAGTTGTATGTTGTATTGATTCAAGCCAGAGATGATTCCTCTCTGATGATCTGTCTCTCTCTCTCATATATATAATGCAACGATTGGTTCGATCTCTGAGATTGAGATATTCTCAATATATATATATATATATGTAACCGCACTTGTTTTAACGTCTCTCTCTCTCTCTCTCTCTCTCTCTCTAACACTCAGATATTTTATTCCGTATATATGTTATAGAAGCTCACAAGGTGGAGGGGAGAGACGGAGAACGAAAGAGCATGAATGAATCACAGAGAAATAGGCATGGCAGAATCTGCTCACGTGGATGGCGAGGCCTGCCTACTTCAAATAATGTCATCACCAAAATGCCCTCTTACTTAGCGATTTGCAAATATCACAGGTAATAAGGCGGACCCACCATCGACCACAGGTTTAACTGGCAATTGAATTGTACCAACTTAGGGATCGTTTGCCATTAGCTTTTAAAAGCTCGAATTACATAAAAGTATTTATAAACACTTCGGGAAAAGGAAAAAAAAAAACAGATCCAAACAGATCCTTAATGAGAGATTTCCAGTTTAAAATCACAACAATACAGGTGATAGAGCTTGCTAGCTAAAAGGATTTTTACTCAACTCAGTTCAGATTAATATAATTCTAGATCTCATCAAGCTGGTGTATTGTTAATACTCAAGAACCCTCTTCATATCAACTCTAGCTGTGTGATTTCTTTTACTTCTTCACATAAAACTTTCAGTCATGATGCAGATCCATGGTATTTGGGTGTTTCAATCCAATAAAATAAAGAATGAGGTGGATTCTATGGTTTAGAATTTCTTCAAGATAGTTAAGGAGTTTGTGTAGATAAGACAAAATGTAAAAGAGATGTTGATGTAGTTTACCCACTAATAAAATCAGACAAATGGCTTGAATTTTCTGTTAGGACCCAAAAAAAAAATCAAATTTATGTTCTAGGCAATTTTCTACGTCATATAATTTAAGTGAGTATTGATACATAGTAATATCTCCAGTTTTTAATGTAAGAGCTAGCTGATTAATTTGAGTAGGTCAAAAAAATTAGTTAAGCTAATTATTTGTAATAAATAAGTATTGTCTTTTCTAAAATATCCTTGCTAATCAAGTATTATTTAATAAAACATTTAACATGTGCAACTACAAAAATTATTTAAGAAAAAATAGATAAATATAGAAGAGAAAGTGAATTGAGACATTATATTTAAAATCAAATTAAAAGTCAAACTAACTTTTATATTAAGAACATGGAGTAGTACTTAAAAAATAAATTAAGAAGAAAACAAGTTACAAGGTTGTTTTATAATATAAAAAGAACCCAAAATAATTAATAATGAACCTCCTGATCGAATTAAGAGGTCATGTTTTATTCACCGAAAAAAAGATTCATTTGGGGGGTCATTTTCGCTTTGAATTTGGTAGCTTCCAAATCAATGTTAACAAGAAACCAACCAAGGCATATTAAATGTGGAAGTGGGAAACAACAAATTCAAGCTAATGAACACCGAATTGCGACGCGGTCCCGGTGGGGGAGGAGAGCCACATAAATGCCGTGCAAGTTAGTAAAATGAATGAGAGGCGGGGGCATTATCGTCTTCCCAAATTTATCGGCAGCACAGTTGTTTTGGTCACACTTGTCTCACGTGCGGTGACCGCTTCCCGTAGAGTGATGAAGACAATTCTGTTTAGGATTTGGTGGTTGGAATGGAAGTGAAGAAGAAGAAAATGAAGGAAGTTAGGCCAAATGTGCGGCTGCATGGGGGAGGGGATGCCGGCAGCAGCCACGATTCGTGCACCCGCTGAGCACGCTTACGTGTCACGCTCCAAATGCCCGCCCTCTCTCCATTTATGATGCACCGAACCTTTGAACCCCACTTTCTTGAGATTTTGTCCTCTCAACACGTGTTGCTAATTACGGAACCGGATGGTAGGAATTCTCTCTGCCAAGCCATGGCCCCATCTGCTGATCTCTCAAACCTTCTAGATAGAGCCGTGGGCCAGCTTGGCTCAATTGGGTGGGAGGTGTTTGGTTTGGACCTTTATGATTGTTGTAGACAAATTCAACCCTATTTCTGACCCATTTTGAGGTTTGCCCTGTACTGTCCATTGTCGACACATGAGCAGGCTCTTTATTGTTGTCTGGTGGCCCAAAAGGGGAACAAAAAAAAGAAACAAGTGTTGTTGTCCAAAACAAATTGGTTTCGAGGGAAAAAAAATTTATTCCTCTGATCATTAATATAAGATCTATTTAACTAATTTAATTAAATTAAAAAGTTAGATAAGTTCGTTAATAATAATAAATATGACATGTTTTTCTTAAAACACCATAATTATTTTTCTTAATATCTTCCCTCCCTCTTTTGCTTGATTATAATTGAGGGAATATCAATATGGGTAATTTAGGAAAAAATAATAAATATGAGAAATAGGTCTTATATTTAGGACTAAAATCAACTCAACAATTAGGTCATATATTAATAACCGGAGGAGTATTTGATTTTGATTCAAGAAGTTGTGTTATAGTTGAACCAAAATTTATTACTGAGTATGTTTTGTTCTCATCGGGTTACAATAATGTATATAAAATATGAGTAAAATTGAAATGTTGATAACTTTTAAGGCAAAGTTAATAAGATATGAGATTTTTCTTAATTTTGATTAAATGAGAGTGATTTATAGATTTAAAAAAAAAAAAACAGAGAGATGAGGGGGAGGGGGAACAACTCCTTGCAAACCAACCTCCATAGTTGATGATGGTCATGCGGCTTTATGGCCTTCTTTCTTGTCAACCCCAATTTCAGACAACTTCAGAGTATCAACTTCATCGAAAATCAGCTAATGAACAAGACAGTACAGGTTGGTTGTGGAAGCAAGAAGGAAAAGTTGACGGAGTTATCTTCGAAAAGCAAACTTTTGATCTGCCTAGGATTAGAAGAGGGATTTTACCTAGTATCAGAGAAAATGTCATATTGAGATTAGACTTGTTTTTACACGAAAAAATCAACGGATCGATGGGTCAACTGCAAATTCAAAACCGCCAAGTGTCCTTCGCGCGTGTAAATAAACTAATAATTAATGTCTGGTTGGTAATGTTTTCACTTTTTGTTGAGACTCGAGATTATCTCTTATCCTCTTTGATACATCAAATGTTTCTTATTTGAATTACTTTATACTGTTACTACTCACTCTCTCTATAATACAAGTTAGAAGAAAATTGTAATTCCAACTATAAGATATTATTATGATAATTAATGTGATTTTTTTTCACTTTTGCCCCAATTAGATATAAGAGAGAGAGGAGAGAAATGAGTGACAATAAAAGTATAACATTAAAAGTAATTTTATCATATTTTTAGGGATGAAATAGAAATTTTTTTTGTCATCTTAGGAGTGAAAAAAAGTTAACCAAATTCTCATATGATCAGGAAGAGGGAGTATCGTTCTGGGACTGCTATAATGATAATTAAAAAAAAATTCTGGTATGGTGAAACAATTCATGATAGTGATATAATTATATGCAATCTAGGTTTGTGAGATACCTTGTTCCGTACGTCATTATATGGTCTGTGCAATCAAAGATGGGTGAAATGCCAAGGTAAGTTTATCTGTTGACTCTTTTTTACTTTGACCTTTAATTTATCCGTTAGCTGGAACTTACTAATGTATCTATCTCTTTTCAATCCCAATGAGTCAATTACAAACTAGACTGATAAGAATCAAATTAAAATTCTTTATGAAATAAGAAAAAACGGAAAAAAACTGGGAATAAGAAGACTAAGAAGAATGAATGTCAAGATTTCTAATCTAAACTCCTTTTATTAAAAAAGTAACTGGAGAATAAGAAGACTAAGAAGAATGAATGTCAAGATTTCTAATCTAAACTCCTTTTATTAATAATATGGCAATTTCAAAGTAAATGTCATAAATAATCAAGTGAGAATTACAATAAGATTATAAGAAAAGAAAATAATTACCAATAAATTTTAATGATAAGTGAGTAGTTCTAAAACTTGTTTGTAAGCTATTCTGTTGTTCTTAGGACTTTTAAGTAATTACACTGTTTATTTATGATTTTATAGCAATTCTCCCTTATAATAATCAATATCATCGATATTTTTTAAAAAAAAAACCTTTTTGCCAACATATTAGAAAAATGACCATGTATAATACTTCAAAGACTTTTAAATTATTATTTATATGTTTAATGTGTTTAAGAAAAATAAACATATTTGCTTCAATTCAAAAAAAGAACCAATAACCATAAAATCACCCAATGTAGAAGGAAAAGAATAGATGAGACAACAATATATACAGGCAGCTCCAATTATCAAGGTTTGTTTTTAGACCACTTGACTTGAGGGGATATGATTGGAGTAGCCCTAACAATAATTGCATTTTTGTCATGAAAAAAGGTTTCACCTAGTTGGAGGAAAATGAAGGGGAGAAAAAATTTTAATCATCTTTGATTTATAGAAAATGAACAAGAAAGATTATAAAATTTTGATATCGACCAAAAAAGGAAGAAGAAAAAATTAATTAAAAATATTCATCTCAGCTTTTTCCCCTTAAAAAAATAAACTCATACGAAGGGTGTAGCTAGTTTAAAAAAATTCTATCAGAGATTTGATCAAATAAATATTATCTATTGGTTTTGTGCATACTCTATGCAATGGATCGATAATGAATCAGTGTCCTCTATGGTTTTCTGACGCCGTTGTTTTATTTTTCTCTCATTTTTCAGAAGACTGAGAAAAACAAGCCTTTGACCCAAAAAAACAAACAAGGAAGCAATTTCTAATTGGACTTGCCCAATATCTCTTTTTAGGGTTAATTTTTTTTCCCCAATAAAGTTAAACAGCCAACAAGAATTGATTCAGAAGTCAGCTCATAACTTAAAAGATCGTGAGGTTAAATATTACAGTTGACGTGAAAATTTTATTAGTGAGTAATATATAAATATCTCTGTAAGTGTTCTTTGAGTTTATAAGTATATCTTAGCTCTAGTGAGCTATCAGGACCTAACTCAAATAAACTTTTGGCTATGAAAAAATGAAGTTAAAATTTGTTTAACACATTGTGTGGAACCATAAATGAATCATGCTGCTCATAAATTAAGAAAAATATCTTCTGTTATTATAGCTAATAATGTATCAATGAACTAGTATAACAAAATGTATAATAAAGCTGTGGAATATTATATAATAAATTCATGATTTATAAATAATATAATTTATTTTTTTAATTACACGTATTTGAGGACATATAGTTAGCTGACATTGGTACTGGTAATAAATAATG